AAAACATATCCTCGGGTGAGGATAAAAAAAAGTGGACAGAGTTGGAAACAGCAGTTACTGGATCCCTGTACCTCAGAAGGCCCTTAAGTATGTATAGTCAAGCCTCTGGTTCAGAGGCTTGGGAAGACTCCAGAGGAACCGTAGCTATGACATGTGATCACCTGAGGGCAGTAGTGAAGATCATAGCTCTGGAGTTAAAATAATCTTCATGTGTTACATGTCCTTAGGGAAATCTTGGACTCAGTTTACTGAAGTATAGAGTGGGAATAATAATGGTACTTTTCTCCTACCATTATAGTGAGATTTAAATGAGATGATGTAGCCCAGCCAGTGTGGTTCAGTGGTTAAGCATCAGCCCTGCACCCAGAGGTTGCTGGTTCGATTCTGGGTCAGGGCACATGCCCAGGTTGTGGGCCCGATCTCCTGGTGGCCAATTGATGTTCTCTCTCATTGATGTTTCTATCTCTCTCTACCTTTCCCTTCCTCTCTCTCTAAAAACCAATGAAGAAAAATAAATAAATAAATGAGATGCTTGAAATGAGGTGTGTTTAAACACAGTTCTTTATATCTAATGGGTGTCTGGTACATAATAGCATTATTACTTTTTCATCCTGCATCAGGGGCAGTACCCAAGAGACCTGAAAGAAACTACATTAAATTCATCCATCCATTAACCAATCGGTAAATATCAAAAGCTTTTTCCCTTTTCTGAACAGCCTCGTTCCAGACCCATCTGATGAGCTCCATGGAGATATTTGGCACATTAAGTGGAGACACTGGAAAGACATGATCAAGATGTTTCACTGATATTTTTTCCCAAACTGAATGGCAACATTAAGTGGATTAGAAATATTTCCATCATGTCCTTTGGACCTTCTAAATGAAGAGGATTTTTTTAGAAGAAAAAAGAATGTGAGATCTCTGTGTTTTGAAACAAAAGTTTATTGAAACAAAGTTTCTATTATTTTGGTCTTTATATATATATTTTTCAATTAAGTAATCTTAAAGAGAATGTCTCTTTATCACAAAGTATTTATAAATTGTTCTTTTTGTTGAGGAAGTCATGTTTAGCTATATATTTTTGTAAATTCTAACTTTTATTATTTATATTTAATTCTTTATACTTACTGTCAAATTCTTAATTTGTAAGGTGGAATGACATTTTGTTGCAACTGTAATTATTTTTTAATCTAAACATTTCATGGCAACTATAACTGCAGTTTCACTGATCTTAGAGACACAGAGTTTTTTACAAAATACATTTAGTTAATTTTTGAAACATCAATCAGTTTTCAAGAAAGTTAGTAAATATCAGTTCAGATGGTACATGAATATGTCACAAATCATCCATGTAGAAGTGGAGAACATTGAGCCCTGCAAACACCCTCGCGCGAGGCGCCGTCTGGCAATGGGGTAAGATTACTGGAGTTTTCCTGGATCAGGCCCCTGCACATGCAGACATTCTGGGTGGGCACTGCCAGGCGCTGCCTCTGTTTTCCCTGTTCACACTCCATGGTGAGCTGTTCAGCTTCCTTCTGATCATCTGTGTCCACAAATTAAGTTGGGCTGACCCCCAAAATTGCTGGCTGGGGGAGTGGACAGTAGAGAAGGAGTGTTAAGCTTCTATTTGTATGAATGTTTTCGGATAAACCATACAATGATGTTCTACTTAAATTTTCCTCATTTCTCAGACAGGGAAGGAAGCTTCATTTTTATCAGAGGTGGAAGGAAAACTAAGACATGCTGGATATGTCTAAGTATCCTGAGGGTATTTCCATCGTATTCTGAAAGAATGTATTCTGACTTAATAGGACTGTGGCCTTTACTCTCTAATACAGATTTTTTATAAAAAATAATATTTTTATGACAGCTGTATAGCAGACAATTTAAGATAAAAACACTCCCCAGGTGAAAGCTAAGTTGTTTTTTAGGAAATGAGTTTTGTTAAGTAAAAATGGGAATCTGACATGAGTACTGATCTAGTCAAAGGATTAGCTCACCTTCTGAAAGTAGACTTGGGAATTTGGGTATTAGCTCTAAAACTGGAGCATTCTTTTTCAAAATATTAAATTCTCAGTATCCCCCCTCCCACTTTTTAATTTTCAGCTGATGAATAAAAGCTACAGATGCTGGCTACTCCTTTAGAGAAATCCCTCCATAGTATCCACTTTAATGGGATTATTTGCCTCAAAAATACTTTTCTTCATTTATAAAAGAACTTACACTGTTACTACCAAGTATTTAGTAATAATAGTATGATAAACTCTAATTTATGAGAATTATTTTTTTCTGAAGCACATATTGTGTATGCCCACAATTCATAGTTAACAGTAGAAGCCATGGAAATATAGTCCTGTCCTGTGAACAAGAATGAGGCTTCAGCTCTTTGAAGATCAAGTATAAAGAGAAACTGAGAAAACACTGTTTGGTAAAAGATATCTTTATATCCCTCTATCAAGTTGTCAAATGTTTTTAAATACATATATTTATAAAGAAAGAAACAAAGATTAGAATAACAAAACCAACAGGCAGAATTACATCAGAAAAAAATTAAACATCTATGGAATATGTATTTGAAATATCCACATTCAATAGTTACAGAAATTAAACATTAATTATAACATGCTAGGTCACAAGAAAATACCAACAAATTCCAGAAAGTAGAAAATGTACAGGTCCATATATTACTCTGGTGACATAAACTTAGAAATTAATGATTTTAGAGATTCCAAAATAGCGACAGAGTGAATGGAAGCTACACAGAAAACCTCCCAGGACCAAACTGGAATTACAACTAAAATAAAGACAAATCATCAGGAAAAGGAAGCAGAAAAGGACCTGGAGAGACCATATAACCAGAGACACTGAATTGAGCCTGGTAGGTCTGCAGAGGCACGAGAAGGGCATCTGGGAGCCCATGGATAACAGTGGTTTTAGCTGTGAGCAGCTCCCTCTGGGTTAAAATCCCAAGCCAGTTCCACAGTGCAGAGGGTTGGGACAGAGCACTAAATAAGCTACAGCCACTCACCTTGCACTCTGGCAGAGGGAGGGAGGACTGGACTGGAACTGTGTGGGGACACCCGGGATTCAGAGGGTGTTCCAAGTTTTTGCTGAGTTGTTGCCACACAGGATGGTGGCCATCTTGCTTCTTCCAAGAGCTCTGGGGAGAAGCAGCAGCCCTTCCCTTAGAGATTTAACACCACTCAGCTGGGACAAAGAAATGCAAACTGAGGTTCATTAACAACCAGAATCTGCCGCACACTCTGGAAATCCACTTACACTGAACACCTGAGGTGAGTTTTTCATTCAGCTGAGGGCTACAACCCAAACCTCATCAAGTAACTGAGACTAATAGCTTCCAGGCAAAAAACTAGAGGTTAACTGAATCTTTTCTGGGCTCGCAAATCTACCCAAGAAAGTAAGACTTGACGGTGATGTCTAACGTGGGTCCTCCCTCACTCATCCAAACCCAGTGGAGGGAGCCACAAACAGCAGAACACCAGCACCCACAGGAAAAATTTGGCAGGTTCCAAAACCCACTGAGATAGCCAAAATGGTGAAACAAGGAAACAAATCCCAAATGCAAGAACAAGAGAACTCTACTGAAGATGAGATAAATGAAATGCAGTTAAGCAAGTTATCAGAGGTGGAGTTCAAAACCATGATCTTGAGAAAGCTCAATAACATGAGTAAGGACCTCAAAACCATGAGTAAAGATATAGAAACATTGAAAACCAAACAAGTGGAAATGAAGAATGACATAGCAGAAATAAAGAACACATTGGAAGGAATATGAGCAGAGTAGACAAAGCTGAGGACTGGATCAGTGAATTAGAAGACAGGGTAGAAAAAAATCAACCAATCAGAAAACCAAACAGAAAAAAACAATTTAAAAACAGAAAGACAGCCTAAGAGAACTGTGGGAAAACTAGAAACAATAATATTTGCATCATGGGATTCCCCAAAGAAGAAGAAAATGAGCAAGGGTTAGAGAATATATTTGAAGAAATATTGACAGAAAACTTCCCTAATTTGGTGAAGGAAGAAGGCATTCAAGTTCAAGTAGCACAGAGAGCCCCAAGTAAGAAGAACCCAAACAGGCCCACACCAAGACACATAGTAATCAAAGTGCCAAAACTTAAAGACAAAGAGAATTGTAGAGGCAGCAAGAGATAAGCAACAGGTTACCTACAAAGGAAACCCCATAAGGCTCTCAGCTGACTTCTCAACAGAAACACTACAGGCCAGAAGGGAATGGCATGAAGTAGTCAAGGTAATGAAAAACAAGGATCTGAATCCAAGACTACTCTACCCAGCAAGGCTCTCATTCAAAATAAAAGGTGAAATAAAGATCTTCCAAGGCAAAAAAAAAAAAAAAAAAGCCTAAGGGAATACATTAACACCAAACCAGCACTGCAAGAAATGTTAAAAGGACTGCTGTAATAAGTAGAAGAAATAGGAAAAAAAAAATAACCACATTAAACAAAAATGGCAATAAATAAGTACATATCAATAATCACCTTAAATGTAAATGGATTAAATGCTCAGATAAAAAGACAGAGTTGCTGATTGGATGAGAAACTATGACTCATATATGTTGTTTACAAGAGACCAACCTCATAACAATAGACTCACATAGGTTGAAAGTGAAGGGACAGAAAAAAATCTTCTAAGCAAACAGAAATAAAAATAAAGCTGTGGTAGCAATACTCATATTTGATATAATAGATTTCAAAATGAAGGCCATAACTGGAGAAAAAGAAGGTCAGTACATAATATTGAAAGACTCTACCCAACAGGAAGATATAACCTTGGTAAACATATATGCACCCAATATAGGAGCACCAAAATATATTTAAAATCTTCTGGAGGACTTCAAAGGAGAAAGCGACAGCAACACAATCATAGCAGGGGACTTCAACACCCCGATGACATCACTGGATAGATCCTCTAGACAAAAAATTAACAAGGAAACAGAGACTCTAAACAAAGCACTAGACCAAATGGATTTAATAGCTATCTACAGAGAATTACTCCCTAAAACTACACAATTCACATTCTTTTCAAGTGCACATGGGACATTCTCAAAGATAGACCATATGTTAGGACACAAACTAAATCTCTACAAGTTCAAGAAGACTGAAATCATATGAAGCATCTTCTCAGATCACAATGGCATGAAACTAGAAATCAATTGCAACAAGAACATACAAAGACATTTGAATACATGGAGGCTAAATAGCATGTTATTAAACAATGAATAGGTTATTGAGGAGATCAAGGAAGAGATTAAAAACTTCTTGGAAACCAATGAAAATGAACACACGACAACACAAAATCTATGGGATGCAGCGAAAGCAGTTCTGAGAGAGAAGTTCATAGCACTGCAGGCCTACCTCAGAAAACAAAACAAAAAAATCTTAATTAATTATCTAACTTCACAACTAAAGAACTAGAAAGAAAACCCCAGAGCAAGTAGAAGGAAGGAAATAGTAAAGATCAGAGCAGAAATAAATGACATGGAGACCAAAAAAACAATTCAAAGGATGAATGAAACAAAGAGCTGGTTCTTTGAAAAGATAAACAAGATTGATGGACCCTTAGCTAGACTCACCTAGAAACAAAGAGAGAGAACCCAAATACATCAAATCAGAAATAAAAGAGGAGCAGTGATAACTGACACCACAGAAATACAAAGGATTATTAACAAATACTATGAACAATTATACAACGACAAATTTGACAATCTAAGCAAAATGGACAAATTTCTTGAAACACGTAGTCTCTTAATACTGAACCAGGAAGAGATAAAAAACTTGAACAGACCAATAACAACTAAGGAAATTGAAGAGGTAATCAAGATTCTCCCAGCAAACAAAAGCCCAGGCCCGGACGGCTTTGTGGGTGAGCTTTACCGAACATTCAAAGACCAATGAACACCATTCTTCTCAAACTATTCCAAAAAATTCAAAAAGAAGGAAGACTTCCAAACTCGTTGTATGAGGCCAGCATAATTCTAATTCCAAAACCAGAAAAAGACACTCAAAGTAAGAAAACTACAGACCAATATCCTTGATGAACATAGATGCCAAAACCCTGAACAGAATACTAGCAAATCGAATCCAGGAATATATCAAAAAAAATTATTCACTATGACCAAGTGGGATTCATCCCAGGGATGCAAGGCTGGTATAATATTCGCAAATCAATAACTATGATACACCGCATAAACAAAATGAAAGATATAAACCATATGATCATATCAATAGATGCTGAAAAAGCATTTAACAAAATCCAGCACTCATTTCTGATAAAAATGCTCAGCAATCTGGGAATAAAGAGATCATATCTTGACATAATAAAGGCCATGTATGAAAGACCTACAGCCAACATCATACTCAATGGGCAAAAACTAAAAGCATTTCCTTAAGAACAGGAACAAGACAGGGATGCTCATTTGCACCACTCTCATTTAACATAGTACTGGAACACTTAGCCACAGCAATCAGACATAAAGAAAAAATAAAGGTGATCCAAACTGGAAAGGAGGAAGCAAAACTGTCATTATTCGCAAATTACATGATATTAAATATAGAAAACCCTAAAGACTTCATCAAAATTCTACTAGACTTAATAAATGAATTTGGCAAAGTAGGAGGATACAAAATTAATGTCAAGAAATCAACAGCCTTAACTCAAAAGCTTCTGCACAGCAAAAGATACAATCATCAAAACGGAAAGGCTACCCACTGTATGGGAGAGCATAATTGCCAATGATATATCAGATAAGGGGTTAATTTCCAATACATATAGAGTGCTCATACAACTCCACAAAAGGAAGACAAAGAATCCAATTAAAAAATGGGCAGAGGAACTAAATAGACACCTCTCCAAACAGGACATACAAATGGCTAAGAGACATATGAAGAAATGTTCATCATCACTAATCATCAGAGAGATGCAAATCAAAACAACAATGAGGTATCACCTCACACCTGTCAGAATGGCCGCCATCAACAAATCATCAAACAACAAGTGTTGGCGAGGGTGTGGAGAAAAGGGGACTCTAGTACACTGTTGGCGGGAATGCAGACTGGTGCAGCCACTATGGAAAACAATATGGTGTCACCTCAAAAAATTAAAAATTGATCTCCCATTTGACCCAGTGATCCCACTTCTAGGAATATACCCTACGAAGCATAAAACACCAATCAGAAAGAATATATGTACCCCCATCTTTGTAGCAGCACTATTTACAATCGCTAAGATCTGGAAACAGCCCAAGTGCCCATCCGTAGACGAATGGATTAAAAAGCTGTGGTACATATACACAATGGAGTACTATGCAGCGGTAAGAAAGAAAGATCTCTTATCCTTTGAGACTACATGGAGGGACCTGGAAAGTATCATCCTAAGTGAAACAAGCCAAACAGAGAAAGACAAATTTCATATGATCTCACTGATTTGTGGAATATAATGAACATAACAGTTTGAGGACAATCCCCTAAGGAGTGGGGAGGTGAGAGAGGGATGAACCACAGAACTTATATGCATGTATGCATGAACAGTGGACATGGACAACAATCTGGGGAAGGGGCAGGGAGGGAAGGGGGAGGGGGGAATCAGTGGGGGAAAAAAGGAGAATCATTTGTAACAAAAATTAATCAATAAAAAAACAAACAAACAAACAAAAAAAAACCTAAAGGACAAAATAAACAAAGAAAACAGAAAAAAAAAAAAAAGAAATCAACAGCCTTCTTATACACCAATGATGAACTCACAGAAGGAGAAACTAAAAAGACAATCCCATTTACCATCACAGCAAAAAAAAATTAAGATACCTAGGAATAAACTTAACCAAAGAAGTAAAGGACCTATTTGCAGAAAAGTACAGGACATTGAAATAAGAAATAGAGGAAGACATAAAAAAGTGGAAGCACAAACCTTGTTTATGGATTAAAGGAATTAACATCATTAAAATGTCCATATTGCCCAAAGCAATTTATAGATTCAGTGCAATCCCCATCAAAATACCAACGACATATTTCACAGAACTAGAACAAATACATCAAAAGTTCATATGGAACCAAAAAAGACCCTGAATAGCCACAGCAATCTTGAAAAAGAAGGAAAAAGTAGGTGGGATCACAATACCAGATTTCAGGTTATACTACAAAGCTACTGTAATCAAAACAGCCTGGTACTGGCACAAGAGAAGGCGTATAGATCAGTTGAATAGAACAGAGAACCCAGAAAAAGACCCAAAACATTATGCTCAATTAATATTCAACAAAGGTGGCAAAAGCATACAATGGAGTAATAAATGGTGTTGGGAAACTGGACAGCTACATGCAAAAAAAATAAACAAATAAAACCAGACTATCAACTTTCACCATACACAGGAATAAACTCAAAATAGATAAAAGACTTAAATGCGATTCGTGAATCCATAAAAATCCTAGAAGAAAATGTAGACAACAAAATTTTGGACATCATACGCAGCAGAATTTTCACTGATACATCACCTAAGGCAACAGAAACAAAGGAGAAAATGAACACATGGGACTACATCAAACTCAAAAGCTTCTGCACAGCAAAAGAGACAATCATCGAAATGGAAAGGAAATCCACTGTATGGGAGAGCATAATTGCCAATGATATATCAGATAAGCGATTAATTCCCAAAATATAAAGAGTGCTCATACAACTCAACAAAAGGAAAACAAAGAACCCAATTAAAAAATGGGTAGAGGAGCTAAATAGACTCCTCTCCAAACAGGACATACAAATGGCCAAGAGACATTATGAAGAAATGCTCAACATCACTAATCATCAGAGAGATGCAAATTAAAACAATGATGAGGTTTCACCCCACAGCAGCCAGAACGGCTGACATCAACAAATCATCAAACAATAAATGCTGGTGAGGGTGTGGAGAAAAGGGGACTCTAGTACACTGCTGGTGGGAATGCAGACTGGTGCAGCCACTGTGAAAAACACTATCCTTAAAGATTTAAATATTGAACTGCCATCTGACCCAGTGATTTCACTTCTAGGAATATATCCTACGAAGCCTGAAACACCAATCAGAAAGACTACATGTATTTCTATGTTCATAGCAGCACTATTTATAATGGCCAAGATCTAAAAACAGCCCAAATGTTCATCAATAGATGAGTGGAAAGAAAAGCTTTGGTACATGTAAACAATGGAATACTATGCAGCTATACAAAAGAATGATCTTTTATCTTTTGAGACAATGTGGAGGGATCTGGAGTATATTATGCTAAGCAAAATAAGCCCATCAGAGAAAGACAACTATCACATGATCTCACTTATTTGTGGAATATAATGAACAAGGTGGGTGATGAACAAAATAGACCCGGAGACACAGAAAGGAGTACGGTTCAGGCTGACAAACCTCAGAGGAGGGGGTGGGGGGGATGGAAGAGATGAACCAAAGAACTTATATGCATGTATGTATAACCAATGGACATAGACAACAATGTTAGGGGGGTGGGAGGGGCAGGATGGGGAGTAGGGGGTCTAGGGAGGAAAAAAGGAGAAACATCTGTAACAAAAATAAATTAATAGAAAAATTTAAAAAATATATTAATAATGATTTTATAAAGAAATGCCCAGTGAATTGAAAATCTAAATATTATTTTCTAAAGTTCTATTAGGACAAATAAATAAATAAAGTTCTATTAGGATGAAGAAGAAACCAAACCAAAATTATCCTGTAGTTAGAAAACAAAGACTGTGGTACTAAAATATCTAAACTTACAACATGAGTCAAATGCAAACTTAGGAAAATTACTATTCTTAAGTGCCAATAAGTGAAATAAATATTCAACTCAAGAAAATTGAAAAAGAAAATGATCTTAAGAAAAAGAGAAGTAAAAATAGGTTAAAGCAGAAATAAGAATTAAACAAGAATACAAAGATAAATAAATCCAAGAGTTTATTTTTTTCTCTGGGAAAGGAAAATTACTAAGAATAGAGACAAAGTTCTC